ATTACAATAAAACAATGCAAGATGCATAAAATTGGAACTTGAAAAATGTTGTGATAAAGTCAAAAGGTTGGTTGACATGGCTCAAGTGTTGAATGCGGCATTGGTGGTGTATTGTGCTGTAGAGTTGCTAATATTGATGGAGAATGAATCTTATTGGTTGTTTTTGAGCTGATAACCCTCCTGTCAAAAAGTGTTGTTCTAGGATGAAAACATGGTTTGTCCTGCATTGGCTTATAAAGCTGGTTTTCTTGAATGCAGAGTGATGTCTTCTTAATATGCTCTAATGCAATGCAATATAATGCAGCAGATACTATATACCATAAACAGGTATAATGTTTTTTCCTCCTCTTTCTTCTGTTTAAACATTTTACTTCTTTTAGTATCTTCTTGGTTTCCTTTATCCAACTCTCCAGTTATTTTTATGAAGGCACGTTCCATTCAAGAGCTGGCAAAGAAAAAATTTGAGAAGTTAAGGATGGATGTACAGCGGTATGAGAAAGACAGCAAGATAGAACAGAAAACAAAATCTAACTTCATAGCAAAGAAACAAACAAAAAAACCTTTCTACCGTGCAACACAGGAACCTGTTGGTTCTGATTTCTCTTCAGGGGCCACTCTTGCCACTGCTGGAGATATCCAGAACTCTTCCATCACTATTCAAGCTAATGCTTGTGAGAGGCCTAGCCATACTGATGTGCCTGTAGAGGGTAACTACTCCCTGGCTGATTATAATTTAGAGAAAACTGAAGAACTATCATCAGGTATTAAGTCCCTTTTACAACCCATTTTTCTATTTTGGGGAGTGGCTTTTCAGTATTATAAAGCTATATCCTAGCTTGCAAATCTATATGTGAAGCCACTATGCTTTGGCATGTGTTATTATTCTTCACTCTCTTGGGCTGGAACAATCCAGGCATTTCTAAATGTTCAGAAGAGCCTTCTATGTATGAGATGGTTTTGTTCTAGCTCTTTAATTATTCTTCTCTGTCTTAGGGAAGGGTCTCCTCTCAAAATTTGGGAAGAAGTCATCTGCAGATGATAATCGTCGTGCGACATACAACATATCCACTCAACCGGTGGTCAGATCAGAGTCAATATTTACAACCTTTGAGGCTGAAATCAAGCAGCTGCTTGTTGTATGTAACAAGCAAATTAATTTGTCTTCTTCAACTATCGGCTTTGTACTCACTTGTGTTTATTTCTGAATCAGGTTGGGCTACAAGCAGAATTTTCATATGCTAGGAGTCTGGCTCGCTTTGCTGCAACTCTTGGACCTGTTGCATGGAAAGTTGCTTCCCGCAGGATTGAGCAAGCATTGCCTATGGGCTGTAAGTTTGGTCGTGGGTGGGTTGGAGAGTATGAGCCACTTCCAACACCAGTATTAATGCTTGAGAATCATGCTCCAAAGGAATCTGCCCTGTTGCGTGCTGCTGATGCTCGAAAGGATGATGTAACTTATAAGACCCCGGTTCCTTCTACCAGTGTTCGAAAGGATGATGTACCTTATAAGAACCCTGTTCCTGCTAAGCCACATCCTCTCAATGTCCCTGCTTCAGAAGAGAAATCATCTTCGTTTTTTCCTGGTGGGCCAACATCAGAAGGAACGCCATCTTTGTTTGCTTCTGCTGGGCCAAAGCCTGGTAAGCCTGCTAATACTATTCATAAGCAGAAAAATTTGGCTCCCAGGAAATTTTGTGAGCCTGAGAACAAGGTCTCAAAGCAAGTTGAGTTGAACTTGCCACCTACTGCCAACGAAAATAATACTGATCTTATCACTGAGAAGAAGAGTTCAAATAAATCAGAGACAGCAGCTTTGAAGTCAAGAGAGATGGTTTCAAGGAACATGAGTCTTGCACAGGCTGTATCTTCAAAGCAGATCGAAAATAATATAGCTGTTGATGGAGATTTGCCTAATGGAAAAACCTCAAGTAATTGTTTTAACAATCGAGCAATGAATCCATCTTCTGATGGTATTCCGACCCAAAAGGCCAAAGCAGCTGCCTATTATTCCCATGGACAGGAGCAGGGCCTCAATGACCCAGTTCAGTTGATGAGGATTTTGGCAGAAAAGGCCCAAAAGCAACAAAATTCTTCAAATCAGTCCCCGGCTGATACTCCACCAGCTATGCCATCTGTTCCATCTATACGAAGAGATGATTCGAGCAGTGCTGCCGCTGTTGCTGCTCGTGCATGGATGTCTGTAGGAGCTGGAGCCTTCAAGCAAGCAACTGAAATTTCCAGCACTTCGAAAGACCAGATATCTGCAGAGTCATTATACAACCCAGCTAGGGAATTTCATCCGCAAGGTTCACGAGTTCAAGGGGAGTTTCCTCTTTCTGCAGGGATGCAATTTCAGCCACAGCCTGAGAAGAGCAGTTTCCCACTTCATACTTTTGCACCCCAACCTGTTCGCTTGATGAATGAAGCTCACTTCCAAAACCGACCCATGGTTTTCCCTCAACTAGTGGCAACCGACTTGTCTAGGTTCCAATTGCAGTCCCCTTGGCAAGGTCTTAGTCCGCGAACACAGCCAAGGCAGAAGCAGGATACACTTCCTCCTGACTTGAATATTGGATTCCAGTCTCCGGGGTCTCCAGTGAAACAGTCGTCAGGCGTTCTGGTTGATTCTCAGCAGCCAGATCTGGCTCTGCAGCTCTGAGTGTGAGGTAGACTTCCTGAAAAATCGATTGAGAAGGGCTCAGAGGTGGTTAGATGGTGCTCTACCCTGGTCTCAAGGATGTAGAAAATTTTGTCCCCTACCATGAAAGTGGATGGAATTACCAAGTCTTCCATTATTCTTAGATGGTGCTCTGGCAAACTCAATGATAGATTTCGGTCCCAATCTTGGATTAGAGTTAAAGATGGCAGATTCAGCCCTTAAACCGTCTTACCTATAGAGTGTGAACTCCTTTTTTCTATCAGATGAGAAGGGAGAATCAAGAAGAACAGGGGCCAATAATCATGAAATGTAGAGATTTGTTTAAGATCTCCTTTTCCTAACAAGCATTTCTGACTCCAAGCATTTATATAGTACCTGAGGGAGCTAAAATCATGAGAGTTTTCAGCAGAAGCCTGATTGTTTTTATGAATTTATTGTCGATTGATTCGATGTTCTTCATCAGATGGATTACATATGTAAACGTAGTTCATGCTTGTACATTAGTAACAGCTGGATGAGAAGTAGCTACTCAAATTTTTAGTTTGTCTTTGTTGCCGTTCATGTTATTTGCATTGATATATCGTCCTGCTTTTCTGTGTACATGCAGAGATGGATTTGCAGTTAAAGAGGGAATTGCCATTCATCTGTATTATGAATCAGGGAATCTTACATGGTACCTAACTTAAAAGCTTATTGAAATATAGCTATTCTGCTTTTACAAATTGGAAATGGCCTGCCTAGACAAAATAGAAATGACCCTTTTATCAAGAATCTCCAAATCTTTTTTGCGATTCACATAGGGGGGATTCAAACCCGATTCTTTGAATAGTACAAAAATACATACATTTACTATCGATCTCAGACCAAGATCAGTGACAGATACATACACTTACCATCGATCCCCGATCGGGATCAATGGTATAGGTTTGATTCGAAACCCCGTAACTCATGCTGTTGAAGCTCTTTTCATGGAAAGAATGGTCAAGAAATTCCGGTGGCTTTGCTTTGGCTTGTTCAAAGACATCATCTTCCTCCCAGGTTTCTTCTGATGACTCCTAAGCACACAGACATCTCCCTGGCAGATATATCTTTTAGATTCTGAGGAGGATTCTGTGAAACAGCTGAAGATATTTGGGAGCAACGCCATGGTATAATCAATCAATGCTCCCAAGAAAGAATGCAATATTGTTTAAAAGATTGTTTCCATGAATATCTCTACCTACTTATAAAGGGTGGATGGCCTTTGCTTTTGGGGTTTTAGGCAATGAGTCAATGTTGGCAGGCAATGACCATTTATTTTTTTTCAAACAACAAAACGTGTTGGACCAAAAATGTTATTTTCTAGCAATTAACTTCTTTTTTTATTAATTTTTTTAGATTGTTTTAGAAATTTCTATATGGTCTTCGATCTTAGAGTTTGGTTAGTTGATGGGCCGGGTTTTGGAACAAGGTCATTTTTTTATTTATATGTAATGTATTGTCAACTTATAATATTTATATATTATCATTAAATCAAATATTATCTTCTATTTTAACGATAGTAATTCGTGTATTTTTTATTTTGTTTGAGAAAATTTGATAAACTCGTACTAAAAAGAAATATTAAAAAAAAGAAAAAGGAGAATGGCACATGGTAGACCATGTTTTGTTTGAATAGCCAAGAGGGTATGGTCTATTATTTGACTTTTTTATTCAAATAAAAGATTCAAAATCAGTTTACGGAAGAGGAAAATAATTTAAAAAAGGAAAGAACACAATTGAATTTCTTTTTTTATATATTTATATATAAATATATCATTATAATAAATGCAAGTTGTATTTAGTTTTTTTTTAATGAAAAATCCATGAAGAGATAAGATTACAATTCATCATTCATAGGGTCAAAACTCACTCTTTTTCTTTGTTTTTTATTTTTTTTTATTTTTTTAAAAGAAAATTTCCCTTTGGTTTTGACCAATGCTATGAAATTACCTAGGCAGCTGAATGTACCTCAAAAAAGCTACAAGTCAAGTGTGAGTTTAGATTTTTTATCATACATAAACACCCAAATTTTCAAAAGCCCTTTTCTTTCATTATAAAAAAAAATGTTCCAAAAAGCATAGCAATATATATATATATAGGTGGGATCGAAGGTGGTGACAGGGAATGACGATCAATCATCATCTTTTAATTTTTAAGTTTTTTATTATTATATATAAAATTTAATATATATAATAAAATTATTTTTTATAAAAAATTTTAAATTTATCATGTATATGTATATATACACACATTCGAACCAGCAATGAAACAAATTAGAGCCAAGCAAACAACTAGAGGATAAAGGCTGTAAAAAGAGAGAAAATGAAAAAAAGGAAGAGAGGGGCAAAATGGCAAATGAAATGGAAGCCGCCTATTAGGGTCTACCATTGAATTTTACCTCGAAATTGTTAAAACACTGCTTTGCCAAGGCCACCCTTTATGGGGTCTCACTCCAAAGCCACCCTTCCTTCCAGGGCTTAGGAGAGAGACCCTCCCACCCTGAAACCCCTTTCCTTCCTTCCTAAGAAGCATCAGACAAAAACAAAACCATCTTCCTCTTTGCTTTTTCCAAGGTTGTCTTTTGTCTTAGGACAACCTTAGAAAGGGGCAAAAGCCCGAACCCCCATTTGAGTTTCTTTAATAGCTTGTGTAATCAAGGACAAAGACTTCATTTCTTTGTTCTCTTCTGGCTTTCATTTTCACCTTCTCAACCACAAAACCTACTTCAAAAAGCCCCATAACTTCTTCTTCTTCTTCTTTGGTTTTCTGTTTTCTTTCCCTTCTGATCTAAGGGAGGGAAGAGAAGGGGAAGAAAGGAAAGATAAGGCAGCAGCTAGCCCACGATCACCACCCACCCCAAAAACTCTCCATTAAACCCCAAAGAAAGTCCAAAGAAGAACAGAAGTAAGAAGTTAAACCATTTTCTTTTTTTTTTTATTACAAGAGGACAAACCAAAGCCAAAACTATAACATCATCAAACCTTTTGTTTTACGTATAGATATTACTATTGTATAACGTGGGAGAATAGAAAAGAGACAAAAGGGGAGATGATGCTGATGATGGGAGGAAACAACCAAGTGACTACACAAAACGAGGGTGGTGGGACCTCGGACATGCACAACAGCTGCGTAGAAGGTGGCTTAACGTTGAAAAAAGGGCCGTGGACGGCGGCGGAGGATGCTGTGTTGGCGGAGTACGTGAGGACTCACGGTGAAGGGAACTGGAATGCAGTGCAGAAGAACACAGGGTTGGCACGTTGTGGGAAGAGTTGCAGGCTCAGGTGGGCTAACCATTTGAGGCCTAACTTGAAGAAAGGAGCTTTCTCTCCTGAAGAAGAAAGGATCATCGTCGAGCTGCATGCTAAGATGGGGAACAAGTGGGCTCGTATGGCTACTCAGGTGATACTTCCTCATAAAGGGTTCATTCCATGATTGATTTCTTTTGAATTCTTTACGTGTACCTTTGATTTTTCCTTTCATGGGGTTTTAAGAAAAGGTCTCTCATTTGATCTTCTTTTCCCCCTTTTTTGTTCACTTTGTCTTTGTTTGTGGAATTCAGATTCTGCATTACATTACATCTTCTTTTTCTGTTCTTGATAAAGCTGATGTTCTTGTTTCTAGCTTCACTTTCTCTGCAATTTGATCATAATCTGGGTTCATAATTTTCAATAATCTAATCATTTTCTAAGCCAATTATTAGTTGGTATTTTCTGAATTCATATTGGTTTACAGCTTAATTCCAGAACAAATTAATGTTTAGCTTTGTTTTTGCTTCCTATAGGATTAGGATATGATGGGGGGGTTGTTTCAGCTTTGAGCAATTTTTTTATCTATTTTCTCTGACATTCAATGTACAATCCCACATTCTAAAAATAGTCAGCCCTTCTTTTCCACCAATTCGTAACAATCTGCTGTCAAAAATTAGAATTAATTATCTACATTTGCTATAATCTGATGTATCAGATTTTGATCATGGATGAATTTTCTGATTTAGTTCCATCTTTTTTGCCTTGGCTATAGCTACCAGGGAGAACAGACAATGAAATCAAGAACTATTGGAATACAAGAGTGAAGAGGAAGCAGCGCCAAGGGCTGCCACTTTACCCTCCTGAAATCCAACCCCTCTATCCCCAACACCACCATTCACAACCAACAACACCCATCCCTTCCTCTCCAACCCTGCAGTCACCTTCCTCTTTCTCCTTCCAAACTCCCACCACTCTCCACCGTGGCTCAATGCTGTCACCACCACCTCATTCTTTCCATCTCCCGCGCTCAGCTTCACAACCTCTCCTCCATATTTCGCACCATGCGGCGGCAGCAGCAGGGCCAACACCCTTTCTCCTTAGTCCAAGTCCGGCCTCAACGCCGCCTCCTCTTCCTAGCCCCACCCCTTCAACACCACCATCTACCTCTCCACTCCCATCTCCCCCTGCCTTCTCAACTCTCCCTCTCTTTGATTCTTCCACATTCAACACTTCCACTTCTAATAGCACCACCGTCAATGCTACTTCTTCTGATCACTTCTTCTTCCCCAGAACCTTACCTTCCCTCCAAACTCCACTTCGCTACAAGCGGTTCAAGCAAAATAATGATAATGCTGAAAGTAATAATAACAATCATAACATTACTGTGAATGGCAGCAACAGGATCATAAATTCGAGCTTCATGTTCCCACTTTCTCCATTGGTGAAAAGTACTGATGTTTTCAAACCTCATACTACTGTTGCTGCCACTGCTACTACTAGTTCATTGACCCCTCAACACTACCCTTCATTTTCCTTGGATCCAATCACACTCGATCTTGCTTCATCCTCAAGGATTCTCCGTCCCCATTTCGATTCAGGACAATTCATTTCGACTCCTGGAGTTGCTTATCCGTTGAAAACGGAGCTCCCTTCATACCAATTGTTGTCCCAAGATGGAAATTCTGAGGTTACTCTCCATGCCAATGAAGTAAATAACTATAGCAGCAATTATCACAGTAGCAACTACCCCAACTTGAGCATGCCTGTTAGCGGAAACGGGTTGTTAGAGGATATGTTGGAAGAAGCACAGGTTCTGACAGGCAGCAATGATCTGTTGACGAGGCAGGGTGGTTTGGTTGACTTCAGCTCAAGCTCTGAGTGTTTAGCTTCAGGTCCGTCCATGAAATAGTTTCCATCATACTTGTAACTGTTCTTTTAACCTTTAGAAGGTCACATCTCTTCTTTGATTTGGACTATGTTTCTCATTTGTTTCCCTTAATTCTTTTCATTTAATGCTTGCTTTCTACAAATGTAGTATTGAAACCAAAAGAAGAAACACAAGAGCAGATCAACACCACGCACGAAGACTACTCCAAGCTGCTCAATATTCTTCCTTCTTCCATGCCAATCCCCGAGTGGTATAGCGACAGCGGGGAAGGTTCCAACGGGCAATCTTCAGTTATAACAGATGATAATCTAGGCCTCGAGATGCATCAAATAGCTTCATTATTGCCTGTTGATCACATTGCACCAGGAGACCTAGCTCCCGCTCTCGGGACAACTTGCCTGGAATTTGCTGAGTCAAATTAAGAGGAAACAAAAAATGGGTCTAAAATCGCTAGGGTTTTGCTTGTTTGGTCTTTCTTTGTCTGGTTTGATTATGTTTGTTGTACTAATGAGAGCAATATAACAATCAAAATGAACTTTTTCAGAACTCAAGCATCTGATGATCTTATGTTATTCTTGTATTATCATTAATTGTTAATCAACACTTGTCTTGATTCCTTTCATTGGAGAAGATCAGCCAAGCTTTCTTCCAATTATGATGTAATCTTATAATTAATTGCAAGTAATCTTATCCTTTTTCTGTTCTGAAAACATATGGCTACCTATCAATCTTATCCTTTCATTGGACTTATGTTGCATTTTGGTCTCTTTTTTGGAGAATCTTTTGAATGTGAATATGATGATATTGACCCCTGTGCCTGTAAGTGATCTGAATGTGAGTCCTGATGTATATAGTTAATGAACTTTTGTTCGAGCCTTGTGCCATGAGTTGGTCTGCTTGCTTTGGGAGGCATTGATACCAAATTCATGGATGGGTTGTATTTTGACAGGGAGGCTTCTCTCCTTAATCAATCTAATGAAATCTTACTTTTCAATATATATATATATATATATATATATATAACTAAGTGCAAAACTGGAAAAATTTTCATTCTAAGGAAGATTCATAGACTCTTCCAACACCCAAATTTGAAGCTTTCTCTTCCTAAGTTGTGCAAAAGAATGTGTTGGTTATGTAGAAACAAAGAATCCCAACACCAAAAGAAAAAGAATTTATTGTATCAAGTTCAGAAGCTGTGTGATCACATTATTGCAGCTCTATTCATATAATAAAATATGTATATATATATATATTTTAATTGAGTGGTGTCCTGTAATTCCACTCGCATGTGCGTGGTTCCGTTTGGTAGAATTTGAAACCAAATTCAGGTCAAAACAGGGTTAACCAGCGTTTAAGCCTAAGCAGTAAACCTAGAATCAATTTAACCTCACTACAAAACTTAAGCAGGAAAAGTTAGCAACATCAATCCCGTAATATCCATGGCCTTCTCTTCCATCCATGTGCAATTAGCATTCATGTACCCTTCTTTTATGCATCAATCCACCCACTTCTATATCTTCTTCCTTCTCCTTTTGACTTGCTTATATGGATATAAAGTTTTAAGCCATTCTTCGAAAACCTCCCAATTAATTCAAGTATTTATAAGTAATTTACAGTAATTAGATCAAGTTAATTATAGTCCAATTTTAATAGCTTTACTTTATATATCCATCCTAACTCAGTATATTTCTATCATATTAAAATTTTTTTTTGTAGTTTTATCAAATAAAGTTTAATAAGAATAAAAATATTCATCATGTCATGTGAAAAAAACTGCAACAATAAAAAGTGTAAACGAAGTTATTAAATCAGACGATAATAAATGTGAAATAACTTATTAAATCAAATGATATTTAAATTTGATATCAATGAGTATTGTAGTAAATAACATTAAACAAAAATATTTCCGAAACAAAAAGCTAAATAGAGTATTTAATCTGATTGAAGAGAAACCAAGCATCAAAATGAACTAGGATATAATGCAATCACCTTTCCCTACGTTAACAACCCTGACCCGCTGCTAACATGCACGTAATCAAGCAGGAGCATGACCTGCTGTAGATGACTGATCATTGCTCTCTTCGCAGACTTGATTACGACCCAGTAATGTGTTCCAAAGGTCAGATACACCTTTAGCTGCAACGGCGAAGAACTGGAAGAGCTCTTTGTAAGAGTCGAGCGCCAGACAAGCAAACCAAGCAAGCCATATCGCCATGAAGAACCACCCCAGGTTCGGGAAAAGGATCTTTAGGACTAAGATAATGGCAAGAGATCCAGATAAGATACTGATATTGATGATGGTTTTATGGTATCCGACATACAGGCCATCGTGTGTAACCAATATGGCTATAAAACATATTGAGACCGATATGTTGATGCTGTTACCGTCTTTAAATGGAGACCCCTTTAACGACACCCAGTTGTCCAAGAGATTCAAGATGCCTATTAAGGAGGAGAAAACTGACAGTAAATCCATGCCTCTTGCGCTGAAATCAAAAGAGAACATGAGAGATGGTTAAGATTTCTATAAAACAGAGATACAGGGAAAGGAAAGGAAAGGAAAGGAAAGTTACCTAACCTTCACAAAACCAAGCGTGCTATGCCTCTGCAATGGTGAAATTGAGATCTTGAGCTTTGTTCAAGACAAGCAGTCCAATGCAAAAACAGTAGTAAACAGCCAAGCATCTAAGCTTTCACTGCCAAGTATAATATTGCATCAAATCAGTGGTAACTCGACCCTTCCTAGCTAGCAGGACATTGCTTGCAGTGGCTCGACAAATAACTTTTATGTATACACACATACCACGTTGCAATGATTTAGCGTGTATAGCTCTGACCTGATAAACAGACAAGAGAAAGGCCACTGACTGCCTGCGAAATTGCCCCCAAAATTTGCTTCATCTCTGGCTTTTCAATCTCTGAAAATCAAAATAATGTTTGTTTCCATCAATAATTTTCTTAAAGAAACTTCTTGCAGGCTCCCTCAGGTATCTTTTCTCCATAATATGAAACATTCACAAAATGGAAGCAAAACATTAACGACTTTCATTACCCAGTTGCATATGTAAATACAAAGACCCCTTCAATATGCTGTCATCACATCCTCATGTGCAATAAACACTGAACAATAAAGCATCAAAATTTCATGTTCATTTGGGTGACTTTCTCTTTGCAATTACAAAATCTCCATGCCACAATTTATGTGGGCAGGGTCTGCTCCAGCCCCAACCCAATCCTACCCTTGACCCTGTTGACTTAGGCCAAGCCCAATAATAGTTGTTTAGTTTGGGAGTACATTGTTTCTAGCCCATTTATATTTTTCTTATGGAACTTTAAAATTGGGTTTGAAAAATATTAAAAGGCAATAGTGCAAGAGGTTTCTCTAGTCGTTTGGTTTGGAAAAGACTAATTGTCTTGTTTGTAAGAAAACTATTTTTATTAATTAATTGAATTAATAAAGTAACAATCTTATTCCTTTTTTCTTTAACTTATGATGTTGTTTAGTAAATTATCATTGTAATTAAAGTGGCCTAACATTTTCCCCTTTCTTTTTTCTTTTCCTTTTAATGAAATTGTTATTCATTTAGAGAGAATTAAAAAAAAAAGAATTGCAAAACTAACAAAAGACACCATTCCTAAAATGGGAAATAAAGAAGCAACAAATTCTACTCTATGGTTGGTGAGATGGGCCATTGGAGATATCCCCCTAGGGCCCTTTTCTTAGCCATAGTGCTTCGGGTTAGGTGCAATGGTCCCATATTTTCCTTCAAGAAATAAATTTGAACACAGAAATGAAAATGATTGGTCTCTAGTCTTTCATAAGAGTAACCATTACTTCACTTAGTTCAAATTACAGTAACATTATCAAATGGTCTAATGTGACAAAGGTGTGACAAATTAACATATACTTCTTATTTTTTATGAACTCAATCTGAAGGGTATTGCTGCTTAAGTAAGATGTATACAGATAAAAGGTTTGTGGATGGAACAGCCATTTTTAGGTCCTTTCTTCTTGTACATCTTTGGAAGAGAGAGGAGGTTCAAACAGGCTGAACAACCTGTAAGCAGAGATCACAGCCAGAACAATGAAGCAGCAAACAACCAGGGCATGGAGAATCAAGGCCACCTTCATTCCATTGCAGAACTTCCCATAAGAACTGCAGGCTTCACTCCATGTGATTTTCTGATCACCATTGTAAGCTAAGTACACAATCTCCATCACTGCTGCCCCTGATGTGACCATTAAGTAAGCTATAATCTGTCACAAATCAACCCATGGTTAAGGTACAAAAAGGTAAAGCTCAAACTAGAGTATGGAATGAAGTAGTTGCTCAGTGAAATAAAGAAGGAAACATAAACTAGGAATATTTATGGAGATGAAGGTATGTTGAAGTTTAAGGGTTGAAGACCTGATCGGAGACAAAGAAAAGCCAAGCTTTAGTGACCAAGCGTCTGATGCACAAGGCAACAGCAGCAAGAACAGCATAACCGGCACATATGGCACTGATGCAAACCATGTACCTATGAAGGAATTCAAATGCTTTCTTATGAGCAAAAAGAAACAAAAAAAAAGCCTTGACAACACTGTAAAGATATTGAACAAACATCACTTACTTGAGCCCTAGAACATTGCTGAACTTTACTTCTCCATACATGCTGTTATCTTCCCTGTTGGTTACAGTCAACCATATTGTTGCAGCACTGAGAGGAATCACAGAAAGCCTAAGAGAACAATCCAGGAACTTAAGAACTGGGTTATAGTTGTTTGAGCTAGTTGTATCATCTGCAATGTTACTACTCATCCTTTAAGGAAAAGGCAAAAACACAATTCCAGCAGAACAAAGTTGAAGCAAAGTGCAATGTGTGGGGATAAATATAGACCCTCCTAGTATGAAAACAAAGTTCTTGAAAGAGGCTAGGCGTGATGTTAGACGTTATCTTAGTGGGATGGGTGAGAAGCAGTGGGGCTGTGCCTTTTCAGCAAAGGAATCATGGGTGTTATTTTTTTGGGTATTTTCTAATAGAAGATGCCATGATTGATCAATTCCACATGGCTTTAGAGGCCTTGATCCTTTCCTGCTCTTAACTTAGATAAGGTTCAGTAAAACTTGACTCTGATTTGTCCAAGTGTATGCTGGACATCTTGGTTTCAGAGAACCGTTATGGTCATTCAAGAGCCAATCAAGCCATTTTGTCAAGAGCTCAATCACTTCCAATGGGGAAACTAGCAAGGAAGTGACTTTTGCTTGCATCTGTCCCAACTCATGGTTGCATGAATCTGAAGTTCTGCAAGTTCCAGTGACTTGCATAAGTAGTCAGGCAATCTCCACCAGGGTGGTGATGCTTTAGCATGAAGAAAGGAAAGGGTATCATCAAAAGTGAAACATTCATCACTATTTTCACCCACAATCATGGAAAAGCGAGAATAGCAGTCAAAAAGTATGATGGAAAAAGCCGCTAATTCGTAAATCAGAGGGCAGCAAATGCTGAGCCCAAATATTGGCACTTATTATGGAGTTGCCATTCACACTTACAAAACGCTCCCGCAAGGAGCAAATAAAGAATGGTTAATTACATGCTCTTTGCTCTCTTATAACTGCTATTGGGTCTTTCTCCCTATATAAAATGGAGCAGACACTCAGCAGCCTAAACCCCTCTCCTTTCCCCCTCCCAACCCTGTTTCTACATTTTACATTTTGACAGTTGGTACATTTCTGCATACTCAAAGGTCAAAAACAAGCTCCAATCCATTTACTTGCTTCCTCCTGAGTTTGGAGGAACTGCGCTTTGCTAGAAAGCTGCACTCCACAAAGCATTCTTGCCTTCTCCACACCGCCGGTGGACCTCCTTCATCCTCTCAACTGACTTGCAAATCCCGCTGCAGGTCCAGTCGAATGAGGCAACACAGATGTTGCCTGCTTGAGCCTTCCACTCACAATCTGCAGCAATGTTGTTATCATCAATCTTTTGTTCCACATCCTGGCATTATAGTATATACTCCTAGAACTGAATGGTACTTTATTCCCCATTCTGCTATACTTTACTTTAGAGTACGAAAAGACAGACAGAATGACACACACACACACACACACACACACAATATAGGCCCGCAGGGGTGGAGGTGGGTTGTTGCCAAACAGTTGGTATCACAAAACCTCCTAGAGTTGCTTTCATGCCTATGGTGAAGAGTTTTCCCTTTTCTTTTCTTTTATTAACACAAACAAGGCGAAAGCACTACAACTCAAACCTAAGATCTCCACCACTCCACCCAGAAAACCCCCTACACCAACAACCTACGCCAAGCCTTGGTGGCTGTTTAAAGAGATTGTCAATGACAAAGAAAATATTTAGCTAGATCTATCAGCCCAGGTGGTCATAACTTAAAGCATATGACTAGTAAAAACCACTTATTGATAACAAGTTCCTTAATCAGATGATTCAAGCTAGGATCTGAAGATCAAAATCTATTTTTATCATCCTTTAATAGGAAAGAGGTTCAACAAAATGCCCGTTTCCAGATACTAGGTGAGATGTGATGGTAAGAAAACAACAAGACATTTGCATTAGTTTATGACATTACCAGTGGTACCACAGCACAGTCTGCGGTCATCTATATGCTCTACGTCCAACCCGATAAACCATGATCCCAATGAAACATCTTCATTAGCATACCTATGCAGCACATGCCTGAAAAATTACCATTTCATAAGAAAGAAGTAAACACAAATGAATTTCAAACACAAAGATACAACATTCTCCTTCAGAAGATGGGGAATTTACTGGTTAATGGATATATAGGAAGCCAAATCTTTAGAAATGGCATATAGCTGCCCTGTGGCATGGCGGAAATACTTGTTTCCCTCCTCACCAAATTTCCAATATTCAGGTTCGTGGTATCTTACTCCCCTGTCCACAGATGGGTAAAAAGTGAGAAAATATAACTAAAGGTTAACTTTTAGCTAAAATGATAATATCGAACATGATTGGCTTACTTTTGAGCAAGAACTGGACCAGATTTCATGCAACCAATATAAACCCTTGGCTTGGATCGATGTCTAGCCAAAGTTGCTCCAAGTGTTGCTGCACGGTACATAGATTGACAATGTAAGAAAACATAAGAAGAATAGAGACAACAAGATTCCTTTTATATTGTAATCTACAAATCCTCAGAGAGAGAAAAAAACTCTGATATTAATTGTATATTCGTATTGCACATAGAAACTGTTTAATTAAGCTGGTTCCAAAACTGCAAAACAACTTCAATCAATTTTAATACAACTAAATGACGCAAAATCTGATATTTAGATACTATCTCCCAATGCTATATATGTCATTATATCCAGTACTTCGCATTGAAGTCGAAAGCGAGTATCCTCTCTTAATATACCAAATCTAGGAAACATGCAGCTACATCAAGACAACGTATTAGTCATCATCACATAATACTTAGTTTCAAGGGAAACATACATTTTGGCTGCTACATGAGAACAGCAAGTATATTAAAGAATATTGAGCTAAATATTCACCAGTCTGAAAGAATATGTTTTCATGAAATGCAAAAACAGGCAAGACAATGTTGCATCTTTACCTATATTTACATGCACATCATCATCAACTTTGACATAGAAATCAGCATCCCACAAGGCAGCAGCAGTGGCAAAGTATGTCCTTGTCTTGGCTGATAATTCGAGGTAACCCTCAACATGCTCCTGCTCAAATGAAAATTTTACAAAAATTAGGCAGCATTAGATATTATCTAAATATCAAAGCAAAATAACAATGTTGTAGAAAAGTTTTGTAAGTATGCTCTTGCTTCTAGATATCAGAGCAAAACAATAATGTTGCAGAAATAGCTCTTTTATGTATGCTCTTGTCAAATAGAACATATATACACAAAGCTGAAAATGAGCAAGATTGAGGGTAGTACCAGCCTTAGAAAGTCACCATGCTTTCTGTCTTCTGCTTCAATAGCTCTATCAAGGATACCCCCTGAGGTAGCACTGTCAATTGGATGGATAAAAAGTTTAGGAATATTCCACTCCATCAAAGTAGTCCTTCACTTCAAAAGTTAAGAAGACCGTATATGAAGCAATAAGATTATAAACAAAGAAAGATATATCTGGTGAATAATAAGCCCATATAAAAAAGGCCTCATAAAATTGCCTTGCATCTCAACCGTTTATTGAAGCAAAGACCACAGGATACAAGATTCTTTATATTGGCAAGATAAAGAAAAGTGAACTTCTACCTTAACTAACTTTGAACTCAAATAAAGTACTGACCTGTGACCAATTACAAATCGCATTATGATCCCCTTCTCTTCTTCAAGCTTCTTCCTTTCTTCCCCTGGTTTTGATACAAATGAAGGACCAGTTATTCATCTTAAAAGTTAGTTTAGAAATATATTAAATGACACACCAAATTTACTATTATATGGACAGAAAGAGATCAATCTACAAACCTTGAGGCATCCAAGTAGCGCGAACTGAATCTCTTCGTTTTCTGCTGCTAAAAGCAGTATTGATGCCTACAACCATTAAATATTTCCGCTTCCCACTTGATTCGGGGATTTTCAGGTCATCTGAAATGGGAGAACCATTAATTATAGATTCCTGCGCGGCCCTTGCAGCAGCTAACTCCATCTCCAAATTTGATATTGTTTTATCCAGTGTTCTGCATTTTATATTCAGCAAATAAACCTTCTGCTAAGTTAAATAAAATCCAAGTAAACAAAGCATGAATATAAACTTACTGTATTGCATGATGAGTCTTCGAAACTTCCCCTAGTATGTCCTTTGGTTCATGCTTCACATCCTTCTGTTAACAGAAGGCATCATATGAGCTAACAAGAACCTACCAAAAGATGACAAAATTTTCAAGGGTTTGAATAAATACTGACTTCTATTGGATCACAACCCTCTGTAATTAACTTTAGCCTTTCCTCTTTAGCCCCTGTTTCTCGTGATACACCTTTATCGTCAGCCTCTGGAACTGCCCACATTCTATGGACAAAAGATCTAATTAGTTTCGCTTTCACATTGGTAAAATAAACTGGAACAGAAAATTTTGAGGTAATTATCAATTTTAAAGCAACAGTAGCCCATAATTCTTGAAGAAAATCACACTAAAACTCACAACAAAAGCCTCCTATAACAAATTTCAGATAGAAGAACACCAAATAAAGTGTTTCAAACCTAAAATGCCATGTCAAATAAATATATTCTGGAAATCTTCTGGGTTCTTATCATATGGCATGAAACCAGTCAAAATCTTGAGTTTGATCATGAACTTTCTGTTACACTGTTACACTGGCTCTTACACCAGAGAAGAGGACGAGGACGAGGAGGTGCCATTCTCATAGCAGGAAAATGAGGAGGGAGCACCAAGAAACAATCGATTTCAAACCTCAATCAATTCTTACCTAAAATTTGAATACCTTAATTTGATTTCAATGATGGCAATAACTAGCAAAGTAAATTTCAAACGGCCGAAGCTTTAAATCCAGCATCAAAAAACATAAAACAAGGACAGGAAACCCTCCATAGTACTCTAGGAAGTGCAGATCTTTGCATTACACCATCTAACAAAGTGGACAACATTAATTACAAAGCCCGTCTCAGTCTAAATTAAAGAAACCAGAAATGAATGATTATTTATCAAAAGTTTTCATAATCATTGCCACTCATATAATATCCACAAATAAGCAATAAACCCCACAAACATACATCAACAAACCTACTAAAAAATTGTTAAAAACCATGGTCCATGGAACTAATCTAAAAAGGAAAAAGAAAAAAGCAGCTAGTGCCTTCACCAAAATTGCAAATAAGCCAAAAGAAATCCTACTAAATCAGGAAACTTAGAAAAACAAAAGCAATTTTATGAAAATCAGAAAGAAATCTCATAAAACTGATGAATTTGCAGGCACCGACTTCACCAAACTGCAGATACAAGCTAGAACCAAATCAAGAAATGAAATTTAAAGAAGCCAAAAGAATTAGATGAAGTTACCTATCAGAAAAGAGCATCCCAGCACAAAAACAGCCAATGCAAAGCAAAAGAGTCCATTTTTTTGTCACCACAGACTTTGAATTTGGCTCAAGTCCTTTACTCTTCCAACTCATTTTTCTTCCTCCAAAACTAATCAAAATCTAAATCAAAGCAAAACCCATTTCTTATCTCAAGTTAA